AGAAGTCAAAGTTCCCATATCCAAAGCCTCCAAGAAAAAATATGAACTGGTCCCAGGCCATGGAAGAGCTCAAAAAGGATTTTGAAAATCAAATAAGAGAGGTAGAAGGAAAACTGGGAAGAGAAATGAGAGCGATGCAAGAACATCATGAAAAACAAGTCAAGAGCCTGGTAAAAGAGACACACACAAAAAAATACTGAAGAAAATAACACCTTAAAAAACAGACTAGGCCAAATAAGTGGAAAAGAGGTCCAAAAAGCCAATGAGGAGAAGAATACCTTAAAAACCAGAATGGAGCAAATGGAAGCTAATGACTTTATGAGAAATCAAGAAACAATAAAACGAAACCAAAAGAGTGAAAAAATAGGAGACAACATGTAGGTGTAAGAAAACATGCTAGATCCAACAAATGCAGAGATAAAAATTTAAAACTGTTCAAGTCTAGTAATGAGAGCATTCACCTCATTAAATAGGCAAATAATGTGAAGATGGATAGATCAGATTCAACTAAGGGGACCCCAAAGCGATCCCAGTAGCAGGGGCCATGCAGTTGAGCAGTGAATGAAGCTATAAGAGTTTGAGAAGGTGGAGATGAGAGGAAAAGTGCATTTCAGGATGTGTTTTGCTTGACTATATTTGATACAAGGGTGAGTAATGGTGGTAGTGGGGGAGTGGATTAGAGAATCAGTTAGGAATAAAAGGATTGTCCCCTGGAGGTGAAGTATCAGCTATTAGATAACAAATTGATGGTGGATTTAGCACAGATGCCTGACCCTCCAACTCCACGGGACTCTACAGGAGGCATTGGAGGGGACAACAGAGGCCAACTAGGCCAGCCCCCTCATAAAGTAGATGAGGAAACTGAGGCCCAGAGAGGTAACAGGGCTTCCTCAGCGTCACACAGGCAGAAAACGCCAGAGATGAGAAGTGAATGCTGGTTCTCTGACCCTGTGTCAAACTGCCTCTTTCATTAGCACCTTACACTCAGTATGTCCAAAAGGGAATTCACCTTTCCTCTTGACCTCATCCTTTCCCCAAAATTCCCTAATTCTGTTGTGGGTAGCAACTTTTCTTTTTTCTAGGCTCTAAAGTTTACTTTGACATATCCTAGACTCTTTTCCTGTGTCCATTTGGTGGGCAATTCTTGATTCTATCTGCAGAGCTCACATCCATCTCTTTCTCCCTCATATGGCAACCATATTCATTGAAGCCCTTGTCAAATCTTACATGAAATTCTGCAATAATTTTTTTTAAGGCAATTGGGGTTAAGTGACTTGCCCAGGGTCACCCAGCTAGTAAGTGTCAAGTGTTTGGTCTGAGGCCAGATTTGAACTTAGGTACTCCTGGCTTCAGGGCCGGTGCTATATCCACTGTGCCACCTAGCTTCCCCTGCAATAATCTTCTAATTAAATTTTCAGCTTCCAGTCTCTGTCTCTTTCACATGGCAGCCAGAATAATCTGACTAGCGCTTCTGTCCATCAGTCCATTCTCCCACTCAAGAAACTTCATTGGCTTCCCATTATTTGTAAAATACCAACTCCACACCCAGGGATTTAAAGTCCTGTCCATGGCAGGTTCCAGCCTACCATTCCTAACATTTCTCATTACTCTTCTGCAAACATCTTACATTGGGCCCAACTGTCCTATTTGCTGTATCCCAAATTCAGTGTAACATCTTCCACCTCTCGGCTGTTGCTCATGCTGGCCCCCATGCACAAAAATCTCTCCCTCCGTAAATTCCATTTCTAAGAAGCCCTAGCTCCTGAAGTTCAGGTAATATGCAAGCTCCCAGGTGAAGTCCTTTTTGTTTTTGCCATTTAGAAGTACTTTATCCTTTTTCAAATTCTCATTTATTCATCACTTTAAATGTTAGGTTCTCTCACCACCAGGAAAATGAAAATTCCTTGAGGGCAGGTACTGTTTTATTTCTGTCTGTATTTCCAGCAGTGAACCTATTAAATGGCATATTCAAGATGCTTAATGAAGTTTTTTTCTTTGAGTTAAATGGCTCCATTGAAAATAGAAGCCTGAGGGGCAGCTAGGTGCTACAGTGGATAGAGCACCGGCCCTGAAGTCAAAAGGACCTGAGTTCAAATCCGGCCTCAGAGCAAACACTTGACACTTACCAGCTGTGTGACCCTGGGCAAGTCACTTAACCCCAATTGCCTAAAAAAGAAAAAAAAAGAAGCCTGGAAAATTGATAGGTACAGGGCAACCAGGATACCAGGTTGAAGGACAGTATAAGAGTCCAGTAATCAGTTAAGTCACTGTGTCATGGCACATAGAAGATGCTTGATAAATATTTATGGACTGACTGTTCAAAGATAATAACAATTTAGTTACTTTTCTAGAATGCTTTTCCAAGATGGTTGAATGAAATCATAGCTCCACAAACAGAGGCTGTCCTTCATCTCTTCCAACACTGACCATTTTCTTTTCTCATCTTTGGTAATTTGATGGGGTATGAACAGAAACTTTGTTTTTCTAATTTGCATTTTTCCACACAGTTGTCAGTCGTCTTTCTTCTGAAAGCTCTTCACATCCTTTAACCACTCATGATGAGGTGGCTCCACTCCTGATCAAGGCTATCCCCTCTACTTATTTAAGTGATCCCATTCCATCCCATCTCCTCCAACAGGTCGCTGTCCTCCGTCATCCCTGCCCTTTCACTCTTCTATCTCTTCCTCTCTACCAGCTCATTTCCTACTACCTACAAACGTGCCTGGGTCTCTCCTGTTCTCACTCGTGTCTTCCGTCCCGCTATCACCCTTTATCTCTTCTGTCCTTTATAGCTGAACTCCTGGAAAAGACCATCTACAATTGATGCCTCCGCTTTCTCTCCTCTCACTGTCTTAACCTCTTATAGTCTTATCATTCCACTGAAACTGCTCCAAAGTTACCAGTGATCTCTCAGTGGCCAAATCTAACAGTCTTTTCTCAGTCCTTGTACTCCTAGACCTCTCTGCAGCCTTTGCTATTGCTGATCACTGTCTCCCCTTTGATAGTCTCTCTTTTCTAGGTTTTGGGGACATCACTCCCTCCTGATTTTCCTCCTACCTATCTGATAACTCCTTCTATGTCTCCTCCTTTAGGTCAACCTCCTGATCAAGCCCTCTAATCATGGGTGAACCTGGAGGCTCTTCCAGGACTCTTTTGTCTCCTCCCTCTATAGTGCTTTACTTGGTGAGCTCATCGGCTCCCATGATTTTAATTACCACCTCTATGCTGATGACTCTCAAATCTACCTACTCTACCGAAAGCTTTCTGTGGATCTCCAATTGCCTTTCAGACATCTAGAAACGGATGTCCTGTAGACATCTTAAACTCCATATATCCAAAACAGAACATATCATCTTTTCCCCTAAGCACCCCCACCCCTACCTTCCCTCTTACTGCAGAGGACAACACTGTCCTCCCGCTCTTTTGGGCTCACAACCTAGGAATCATCCTGGCCTCCTCCGTCTCTCTCACCCCTCATCCAATATGATACCAAGGCCTGGAGATTTCATCTCTACAGCCTCTCCTAAAGGAACACACCTTCATCTCTCTTGTGACGCTGCCCAAACGCCCTAGCGCGCCTCCTAAACAACAGCAGTGGCTGCAGGTGGCTCTGCCTGCCTCAAGTCCCCCCACCACAGTCTGTAAGGTGGTTCTCCTGAATGCAAGTCAGATCATGCCCCCTCCCCCCCAATCAATGAACTCCAGGGGCTTCCTATGGCCTCTTTGGTACTGGAAGCCCCCTCCCACCTCTCCAGCCTTCTCGCGCCTAACTCCACTCGGGGACCCCGGCTTCCTGGCTCTTCCACAAACAAGACCCTCCACCTGCAGGCTCTGGGCTGTGTCCGGCACTGACCCGCCTGGCTTCCTAAACCTCACCTTCCCCAATCCCTCGTACTTCTAACGCATTCCCTCTCAGCCTGCACTGACCTCCTTTGTACGTAGCTGTTTGCATGGCAGCTCCCGCCCGCCTATCTCCCTAGTGTTAGCACAGAGTGGGCGCTTGGTGCTCTCGGAGGAGCCGGGACCCTCCCGATGGGATTGTCTCGTGGGGTGCTCCCTGCCCCCGTTCCCTCTCCCTTCTCCGCCCTGCGTCCTGGGACCCTCACACTGACACTTGACTCAGTGAGAAGGGGCTCACGAGCCCCCCACCCACGCTGCCCGGAGCCCAGGGCTGTTTTCCTGGCTCCCCCGGGATCAAGCCGCCCTTGCGGGCATATGCACCCGGGGCCTGGGAGAGGAGGCTGTTGGGAGGACAGACGCCCAGCTGGGTCGGGGTGAGGGAGCCCCGGGTCGTCACTGCATGGACCTCACCGTGACCCAGCCAGAGGTCAGTGATAGAGCGACTTGCGGGCTGAGCATGCGCACTGACTGGGTTGGCCGCAGGACTACGTTTCCCAGAAGGCCCCGCTCACCCTGCGCGCTTGCTTCGAAGGGCAGAGACCCTCCGACCCCACAGCAGAAGGCGCTTTCACAGGATTGGCCGAAATGGGAGAGTCGGGAAGCGGCCGCCTGGAGACACTTCCGCCAGCCTCGTGTCCCCGAGAGCACGGTTACAACAGCGGCTACGTCACGTCCGCCTTCGGGGCCACCGCCGCCTGGGCCGTCCTCCGTTGTCGCCGCTGGGCCGCGAGTCCTCCGTCCTGCTGCAGACAGAGGAGGCCTGGCCGGCCAGACGCCGGGAGTCGGGGCGGCAGAGCGTCCGGAGCGTAGTTTTGAAGCCTCTGCAGAGAGTAGAGAAGAAGGGGGGGGGAAGGGAGCCGCGTCCAGCGCATGCGCAATCGGTCTTCCCGCTCGCAGCCAGTTTGTTGGTCGCCTCCGCGGGCGAGGCCAGCCTTTCTGGCCAATCATCGGCCACGCCTTCTCCATCCGGGCGGGCTCTATTCCCGCCCCCTCGCCGGGGCGGCTGCTGTTGCTGCCTCTTCCTGCTGGGGTCTTGGACCCAGGTTCCTGCGGCGCGGGTGGCATAAGACCCCTCCCTGGGCTCCGCTTCCTTCCTGGGTACGGGAGGCCCATCTCCCCGGCCCCTTCTCTTCCGCAGCTGCACCTGCGTACGCGTCTGGCCCACCGAGACTCCCTCCCCCGGCGAAGAGGAGCAGGAGGGCATGGCCTCCGCCCGCCAGGTGAGGAGCCCCCGGGCCTGGCGGGGGTGGGGGTGCTTGCCGAGACCCCTCCCCGAAATCTCTTCCCAAAGCCCCCGTCTGTCAGGCTCCCTCCTGGCGTTTGACTGGAGCTTTCGCGGTGTGTGCGTGTGTGTGCGCGTGCCCGTGCGTGTCCTCGGGCAGTCGGCGGCCCTCCTCCTTTTCCTGGGCACGTTGAGCCGTTGACATCCGGAGCCGCTGGGCACGTTCTGCCCCGCATCTCCCAGAGGAAGCACGGCGCGTGTAGTCGGTGAGCAGGGTCCTTTGGGCGCCTTCTCCGGGCCGGGGGCTGGGGAGATAGAAAGGACGGAGCCTCCTGCCCGCAAGGGGCTTATGCTTTCCTGGAGGAGCTTCTGCTTCTGTATTGTGGATGAATACGAGCTTAATTACCTCCCCTACGAGTCTGCTTTTTAAAATTTAATTAGACTGGACCCCAAGAACGTGGCTGCTCACCACCCCCACCTCTTAGGGCTCTGCAGATACCCCCAGGGCTTTCAGTACTGTTGTTCAGGAGTCCCGCCTGTGTGCTCCGCCTCATCCTTCCTGCCCGACTCTGATAGCATTTGGGGTTTTCCTGACAAAGATACTGGAGTGGTTGGCCATTTCCCCCTCCAGCTCATTTTGCAGATGAGGAAACTGAGGCAAACCGACGCCTTGTGCCCAGGGTCACACAGTTAATGAGTGTCCGAGGCCAGAGTTGAACGTGGGTCTTCCTAGCTCCAGGCCCGGGGCTCTATACACTGTGCTGGCCAACTGCCACCCAAAATGAGAATAGTCGCTATGAAATGAAAGCCCCCCACTGTGGGGTCCGACTCTTCCTGTGTGCGGACAAGGTCCCAGGAAGAACCAGAGTCCAAACTGGGGGAATTCTCCTGGAGATCCCCTTCGGTGTAGCTCTCTTCTGGGACCTGAGGGCCGGTGGCTGTAGGAGCCCCAGCGTGAGAGCGGCTCGAAGCTGCATCCTCCTCCAGCTCATAGTAGCCAGTCGCTAGATGTTTTCCGTGGGATGTCATCTGTCTAAATTACCAAAACGGTCCAGGCTTCTCAAATTACAGACATTCACGTAACTTTTAATTGATTTTCTGGTTTTCTAGGCTTTCAGTGATTGGTTGGAGTGGGGACAGAACACCCCTCATTCTCCTGTGCTGTCCAGTCTCAAGGATCATTGATTCACTTATCCCTCTACCCTTTACCATTGGTCTTACAGAAAATCTGTAATTCTGCTTTTCCAAGAAATGTTTCCCTCAAAGACCTATCTTTGGGTTTTTTTTAGTATTCCTACATTTTGCTTTTACACTTTATTTACTTGTCAATGAAAAGGACCTCCCATGTTGCTGTCCCTTTAAAAAAAGGTTCAGTAAAAATCCTAATGTAGGATGCAAAATGACAGTACATGTGGTTTTTTTTGCAGTTACTACTTATTAATAGGAAGAAGGGAATTTTTAAATTTTTTTATTGATATATTTTTAGTTTTCAACAATCACTTCTGTACGATTTTGAGTTTTACATTTTTTCTCCCCTTCTTTCCCCAAGATGGTGCACAATCTGATATAGGCTCTCTATATACATTCCTATTAAGTATATTTTCACATTAGTCATGTTGTAAAGAATTAGAGCCAACAGGAGGAACCTCGAGAAAGAAGAAACAAAAACAAAACCAAAAAAAGCAAACAGTCTGCTTCCATCTACGTTCAGACTTCTGTAGTTCTTTCTCTGGATGTGGAAGCATTCTTCGTCACGAGTGTTTTGGGATTGTCTCAGACCATTGCATTGCTAAGAAGAGCCAAGTGTATCAAAGTTAGTCATCCTAACGTTCACATCACAATGTTCTCCTGGTTCTGCTCACTTCACTCAGCATCAGTCCATACAAGTCTTTCCAGCTTTTTCTGAAGTCAGCCTGTTCATCATTTCTTATAGCACGATAGTATTCCATTACATTCATATACCACAACTTGCTCAGCCATTCCCCAATGGATGGTCATCCCCTCCATTTCCAACTCTTTGCCACCACAAAAAGAGCTGCTATCAATATTTTTGTACATGTGGGTCCTTTTCCTGTTTTTATGATCTCTTTGGGATACAGCCCTAGAAGTTCTATTGCTGGGGCAAAGGGTATGCACATTTTTATAGTACTTTGGGCATAGTTCCAAATTGCTCTCTAAAATGGTTGGATCAGTTCACAACTCCACCAACAATGCATTAATGTTCCAGTTTTTTCCACATCTTCTCCGACATTTATCATTTTCCTGTTTTGTCATGTTGGCCAGTCTGATAGGTGTGATGTGGTACCTCAGAGTTGTTTTGATTTGCATTTCTCTAATCAATAGTGATTTAGAGCATTTTTTCATATGACTATAGATAGCTTTAATTTCTTCATCTGAAAACTGCCTGTGCGTGTCCTTTGACCATTTATCAATTGCGGAATGACTTGTATTCTTATAAATTTGACTCAGTTCTATATGTATTTTAGAAATGAGGCCTTTATCAGAGACACTGGTTGTAAAAATTCTTCCCCAGTTTTCCTTTGGGGAAGGGGATTTTTTTTTTTACGTTAGTAATATAGAATCACTGATTTCCACTGTACGTGACTTGAGTTGGGTCGTACATAGTGGATAGTGTTGAAACCGGAATCAGGAAGACCTGAGTTCCTCTACTGCCTCAGATAGGATCATAGCGTGATCACAGGTTTTAAAGGTCTAAGGGGACCATCAGGAGAACGTCCTCTGTAGACCTTATGGTCCACGTCTGCGTCAGCTTGTTGGTGGCTGCTGTGCTCCATCACGTCACGAACATTCATGTTCCTCCTCCTCGTTCTTTGTGCTGCACAGCTTTTCGTGTTCCTCTCAGTTCTTCGCGTTCATTTTTCTTTATAGCACAGTGATAATGATTATCAAATATTTGGGCTCTTTTGCCCCCAGTTTTTTTTCTTTTTCTTTTCTTAAGGTGTTGATATGAATATTTTGGCACAAATGAAACTTTTCATTGTGCCATTGACCTTGGGGTGGGAGTGGGATAATGCTGGGGCGAAAGGTCTGGCCAGCTAAGTGACTTTTCTTGCATAATTCATACTTATAGAGTAGATGTCTACTAAATATTTATTGACTGACTCTGCTTCTCTTAGGATCTCTCCTTTCTCTTTTGGAAGGTTGTAAAGTCTAGACTTCAGAAGACACCGGGATGATGGCAAGTGTGGGTTCAGAGGCAGAAAAGGAGGCTAGGAATAGCTGTTAATTCTTTGTTAATCTTGCCCCTTGCTGTTTTGTTTAATGTTCCAAATGAGGCTGTACTGGCACCAAAGATTAATTGTATTCAGTGAAGGAAGATGGTATAAAACTTTACTTCTTTCTTGTTTTTTTTTCCCCTGTATATCACTCTTTTCTCCTGTGGGAGGCAGCTCAAAAGATAACTAGGGAGTCAGCAGGGAGAGCTGTTTTCAGGGATGGACCTTCGCCTAAGAGGCCAAGTTGTAAAGCGAGGTGAAGGAGAAGTCAGGAGAAGACCTAGATGGAAACCATACCCAGGGCTAAATCTGTCCAGGACCGGTCTCTGCCAGGCAGTTATAAGAAAGCAGCTTGTACTTTTGGAAAGAGCTCCCCTCTTGGATTCAGGAGCTCTCTGGGTTCAGTCCCTTCCCCAACCAGGAATTGCAGAATCGCAGAGCTGGAAGGGGTTTCAAAACTTTCTTGTCCCACCTGGACCCAATAGTACCCCCTCCGTAGTGCACCTGTTAGCATGATTTATCCTTTACTTGAAGACTTTAAGGGTGAGAACTTCCTGTTTTCCTAGTTTTGGATTCCTCTCATTCTTAAAAAGATCTTCCTGACAACAAGCTTAAATTTTATACTCTTCAATTATTCCTCGTTCTGCTCATTGTGTGAAGCATAACAAGCCCTCCAGATACTTGAAAATATCTGTCTTGCTTCTGTTCCATCTTCTCTCCAGCCTAAACTTCCAAGGTTTCCTCAGTTTATTTTCACACCCTGCTCTCCTTTGGAAAATTTCCAGTTTATCTGTGTCCTCCCTGAATGTGGCTCCTAGAATTGACCATCGTGGGACTATAACCCCCACTATCTGGGATGCTTTGCCTTTTTCGGTTCTGCCTAAGTGACAGTGGCATTCCTGGCTTTCACATCTTGTTAACTCACTGCACTTCAAAGCCCCACACCTGCTGTTCACCATCAGAGGACCAGCTGCCTCACCATGTCTTCCCTGGGAAGAGCTTCTGGAATAGGGACCTGGACAGCTGTTATGTTAGCTCTCCTTCCCAATTTTGTACCACTGGCAGATGTGACTAGCATGCCGCCTCTGCCTTTGGCCAGTATACTGATAGAACTGTTAGACACAGTTGATCTGGGTGTCTGAGTTGCCTGCTAGACATCCTTCTGATCTGCTTTCATATCTGGGTAGAATATCTGTGGCTAGAGTTAAAATTTGGGTGTAAAGGAAGAAGAGCCTTGTAAGGATCGCTGAAATAGTGGACTTAGAAAGGCTTAGTGCTTGATACTCTGAAGAAATGCTGGATTTTAAATGGACCATGATGGCTGTGTTGTCTCTACTTGGAAATGAGTCCTTGTAGAGGAGGTACAAAAGCCTTCTTGTGTTCCCTAATACATGCCAGGCGCTGTGCGGAACACTTTACAACTGTTGTCTTCTTTGATCCTCATGACAGCCTTCGAGATAGATGCTGCTGTTATCCTTTTATAGCTGAGGCAACTGAGGCCTCAGACCTCAGAGGTTCTGGGACAGGTCCAGGGTGATACAGCTAGTAAGTATCTGAGGTGGGATTTGAACTCAGGTCTTACAGGCTCCTGGCCAGGCTGTGTCCACTGCACCACCTACCTGCCTCCTTACATCGTGATAGACAGTGTTATTGTCAGCATCCTGATCTCTGATGTATAATTTGGGGGATTGAGAGCAAAGTCCATGGCACGCTAGCTTCCTTGGCAAAGTCACATGTAAGAGGGACCTTGAACTCAGTAGAAAGATACAACCTGCTGTAGTCGAATGAGGCCTAGATTCTACTAGTGATCCTCACTAGCTGTGGGTGTGGGTGTATGTGGGGGGGGAGACTCACAAGTTTCTTGTTCAGCCTTCCTGTCACTTTTGCATTCTGAAAATGAGAATAATGAAACTTTCCCTCCCTCGCTCACAAGGTTGTTGTGAGGAAAAGCTTGGTGAGCCCCAAGACTGTCACTTGTTGTAAGACTTAGGATCTAGCACAAACCGGGGCTGTGGGAGGCACTCAGACAATTGATTGAGAGCACGTTGAGGCCTGAGCACTTGCGAGAAATACTCTTGACAGGTTCCACCAACTTTGTCTCTCACCGGGTCCACAGGAGTGATAGCCCATGGATAATCATAAATGTTCTTGGTGTTTCAGGGGTCAGTGACCTTCCAGGATGTGGCCGTGGACTTCTCCTGGGAGGAGTGGGGGCGCCTGGGCCCCACCCAGAAGGAGCTATACCGGGAGGTGATGCTGGAGAACTACAGGAACCTGGTGTGCCTGGGTGAGGACCTTGGCCGCCGCAGGACTCGGCGCCTGACTGTTGGGTGTCTTTGTGTTTTCCCTGACTGAATGCATCCTAGTGTGGTGGGGGTGGTCGAGCAGGTTGCTCTGTCTGAGCAGACAGACTCAGGTTGCTCGTCCTTGGTTGTGGCCAAGACAAAGAGAATCCATGTGCTCCTGTTCCTAGGTGAAATGTGTTTGTTCTGTGCGGCTGGAACCTGGCCTGTGGAGACAGGGCTCAGGACAGATTCCGTGGTGGCTCTCTGTCCTCAGTACTTTCTCATTTTCATTGCATAGGCCTTGAAGTTTCCAAACCAGATGTGGTCTACCAGCTGGAGCGAGGGGAAGCACCGTGGATGCCGGAGGGAGCCGTTCGCAGAAGTTGCAGTCAAAGTGAGTAATATGAGTCGTGGGGAGGCAGAGGATCAGGGGACCACCTTCCAGTGCCTCAGGGAAGCCCTCCTAAACTGTTGGTGGTCTGAGCCAGAGGGGAAAATGGAGTCTTTCTCAGATCCTCACTGTCACTTAAACAAATATGTCCTGATCTCTCTCCACTCTGTGTGCTTATATATAGTCTTAGAAAGAGAACTCTAGACTGACTGTGACCAAGTTAGAGTTATGCCAGAGTTGTGAGTAAGGATGGTTCAGCAGTTTTTAAAAATTGGCATAATTAATCAGATATGCAAAACCTATAGGATTAGATGCAGAAATCGCCTTTGACAAATCACAGCAGTCATTTATGCTGAAAACCCTAAAATGCACAAGCATGGAACGACCTCTTTTGATCCATCTAAAACTGGAGAAGAAAGTGCCCGACTACCCCAGTGTCTTTGCCAAGAAAATCCCAGAGGAGGGTGGGAAGCGTCAGGTATGTTGGGAATGACTGACTAACGGGAACAGCAGAAATGCGGAGCTTAAGACTGTTGGCTGTGACAGAGTAGTAGAAGGTTTCCCAGGAAATGCAGGCATAAAATAGGGATGCCTCTGCCCTGCTTTTAGATAGCTCTAGAAGTGCTAGAAACAGAGAAAAAGAAAAATTTAAGACATGGAAAGAGAGCGGATGGTCATCCCTGTAGACAGACACAACTGTATACTGATGAAAACCCAGAGAATTGGCAAAGGACAAAGGTGAAATGATTGCTTGGGTAAAGTACTGGGATATAAAATACAGAGAATAGTCGGCATTTCCATGTGGCAGGAACAAAAACCAGGGACAAATGATCAAATGAGGACCTCTGTCACTCTGGCTCTATGCAGAAGCATGCCGGCGGGCGTTCTTGTCGGCATCCCCTTAACCCGGGTCTGGACAGAGGAGCGCTAGGGATTTTTGGTGGCATGATTTGCTGTCTGTCTCGTGGAGCCCATTGATTCCCTCAGATAGTTTTTTGTTGAAGTTTCCTGATTATGATGTTGTTTTGCAGAGGGGGATCTTGTAGCATCTTTTCCCTTCTTTTTTTTCACTTACCTCAGATGTTGTTGCTCAGTTGGGTCTGACTCTTCCTGACCCCATTTGGGGTTTTCTGGGCACGGATACTGCAGTATGCCATTTCCTTCTCCGGCTCATTTTACAGATGAGGAAACTGAGGCACACAGGGTAAAGTGACTCACCCAGGGTCACCCAGCTAGGAAGTGTCTGAGGCTGGATTTGAACTCAGAAAGAGGAGTCTTCCTGGCTCCAGGCCTAGCGCTGTGGCGCCCCCTAGTGGCCTTTCCTTGCCTTACTCCTATGGAAACGACATAGTTAAAAGGATACCAAATAGTAACAGTCTAGTGTTCTCCATAGTATGGAGAGTAACAGCCCTGCTTTGTGCCTGTTCTTTCATTTATTCAACAAGTACTTATTAAGCAACTGCTGTGTACCAGAGACTGTGCTGGGTGCTGGGTACAAAGACAAAGAGCGGTCGGTCCTTTCTCTCTGAGAGCTGGCATTCAGGCGTCCATGGAAGAGTAGACAAGAGTGCTTAGACAGTAACGCCTTCCCTCGGGTCCTCCTTCTGCACGTCGTACACGTCTGCGCATGGAGGCTTCTGGAGGGCAGGCGCGGGGTTTTCTCCTTTCTTTGCGCCCTCATCACTTTGCGTGGTGCTGTACATATAAAAGCACTTAACAAATGCCTGTTGATTATTAATGGATTAATTTGGGGTCAGGGTATGGTGGGAAGAGGCATTAGTAACAGGCTGAACTTAAGCCAGGTCTTCTGAAGAAAATGACACCTGAGCTGCGGTGCAGCATTGCCCCTCAGGGAGCCAGGTTGGGTGAATGTCCAGCCAAGGAAATGGAGAAGGGAACTTAGGAAGGAGGGGTGCCCAGCACGAGAGTCTGGCGCCTTGATCCACGAGGTGCCAGGGTCAGGGAGGAGAAGGACAGACTGAGCGGTGAGGGCCTGGCATCGATGTCAGGTTCCTAAGCTCCTGTCCAGGATTCATCGCTGTTACTGCATCAGTCAGAAGAGATGAAGACTGGGTGTTCCTCAAAGGGCGTGGATATGCAGAGGCTACCAGCTAGTCCTTTACAGTCACTGATGCCCCCGTTGGAGTCAGGAAGGCCTGAGATCAAGTCCAGCCTCAGACACTTCCTAGCTGGGTGACCCCGGGCAAGTCAGTTCATCTGTCTGCCTCAGTGTCCTTATCTGTAAAGTGGCACCTGCCTCCCAAGGTTGTTGTTGAGGATCACATGTATAAAGTGCTCATCACAGTGCCTGGCACAGAGTAAACATTACATAAATGTTAGCACAACGATACTGCTGCATCGTATATTGTCATACATCATAATATTTTCCTGTGATATCATTGTGTCATTAGCTATTATGATCATATTCACATAATCCCAGAAGGTCACGTATCCTATAAGATACTACTGTGATACTGGGGAGAGAAGGGAAGAAATGAGTGCCTTGCAGGCATTTGAGCTGTGCCTGGAAGGAAGTTCAAGATTCGGAGTGGTGGTAGGGGGGAGAGTGTCCCCCAGACCCCAGGGACCAGGTGTGCAGAGGTACGTAGGCCATCTGTGGATGGGGAGCCGCAGGTGGGTTGTTTATCCAAGAGCAGGGAGGAAGACGAGGAGTGACACATCAGGGCATGGTTATGAAGCAGGTGTTGTGCTGAGCACTGGCAGTGCAAAGAAAGGCAGAAGTAGTCCTTGCTTTCAAAGGGTTCAGTCTAACGAGAAGAAACATGCCAATGACTTAAGGGCAAACAAGGCATCCAGGCTAACTGAGGGATAGTCTCAGAGGAAAGAAGTGGAGGTGGGGTTGAGGGATATGAGTTGAAATGCTCAGAGTTGGGAAAGGGAGTGTTCCGCTCAAGGAGCAGTGGTAAGGCCAGTAATACTTGTGTGTGATAGAAGGATCAAGGGTAGAGGGGTAGGTGTTAGAGAATATGCAGGTTCAGGAGTTAGGAAGTTTTGGAGCCTATCAGTAAGCATATTAAACTGCCGGAGTATGAGGGCAGGGGTTGGGGAGGAGAGAAAGCCTGTGAGCCAGGTACTGAACTCACTGAGAATGGAAGTGGAGCGTCTTGGAGATTGGTAGACAACAGCCGAAGGAGAAGAGGTTACTGAGTGATGGCAGAGGGAGAGGCTGGACGTGGGAAATGGGGAGCAGGGAGGATTCCAGCTCCCCTTCAGGACCAGTGAGTGAGTCAGGAGTACGTGTGAAATGTGTCTTCAGGTGCGAGCCTGCTCTAAGAGAGTACAGGAAGATGAAAGCAAGCTGTTACATGTGGGGCCCGCATTCTGGAGAGCACAAAGGACGGGGGGTAGCTTTGCCATGGGAGCTTGGGTTTAGAGAGAGATGAATTAGGGAGCATTCAGTGAGGACAGAGAGCAGGATTTAAACAGTGGCGGCCAAGAGTTGTTAATCCCTGTAGTCATTGTGAAGGTCAGTCTTCTGGTTTAGTTTCCTTACTGTAACATGATGTGACAACATTCCATTACATTGTTAGACAATCCTGAGCGTTTGGGGTGGGTATCGAGATGCTGAACAAAGAGCAGTATGACATGGCTGGTTACCTATTAAGGGTTCTATGGGCAGAAGTACTTGTCTACACTTCTAAAATATCCAAGCCGTTAAAAGTTGCCTTATAAACAGCACAACCAGTATTACTAGCAAGTAAAGTCAGTTGCCTAACAAGTATCTATTCATAATCAGGTAGTGTTTGTGAGGGGATATAAAGAAAGGCAAAAGAAGCCCTTACTCTTAAGAGAGCTACATTTTAGTAGAGAAGACATGTAAAAAACTAGATCCATACAAGCTGTAGGGAGCTGTGGGGTGCCACAGTGCCCAGAGCAGTGGGCTTGGAGTCAGGAAAACTCGAGGTCAAATCCAGCCTTAGGCAGTTCCTAGCTGGGTGCCCCTGAGCAAGTCAGATGCTTCCTGCCTCAGTTTCCTCATTTTCAAATTGGGAATAATAATAGTACCTATGTCATGTGTTGTAGAAACACCAGCTTTCATTATTATTATTATACAGATTTGACTGATCATTTCTGAGTTAGTTTACAGCTGGGATGGTCTGTGTTTAGGATTCTGGGCTGTGTAATCAATTTTAGGAGAGAGAGTTTCAGAGGTTCAGAGAAAGAATAGGTAAGATTCAGTCACCTAACATTTTGCAGGGGAATTCAGTCCAAGGGAAATATGAAGCCGACAAAAAAAAGTTCTGGCAGACAAATGGAAATCCTTCCAGTTTGGAGGGAAAGGAGGAGCTGCCTAAAGAGACCATGTTGCTGCATCAGGGATCTTAACAATACGCGTGTGGCACACAAAATGATAGCAAGTCACTAAGAAGTGAAAAAGCCTGTCAGAATGAGTGGAGGTCCGGTGACAGAATGGCGGCAGCCACCCCAGGCATTGCTGCAGACACAGCTACTTCAGCTTCCCTAGCGGCTCTGCTTTGGCCCTGTCTTCTCAAGGACAGTGCTCACTGCTTCAGAAAAAGACAACCCAAACAGGAAGGCAAGTGAAGGCCACAGCTCACTGCCCTGGATGGACAGCAGTCATGTCTCGCACACAGACCATGTGCTGGAGGACAGAAATAACAGGTGTGAAAGAGTGAGCCGTTGTCATGATGTCTGAAAATTCCTGGAGTGTGGCAGGAGAGCTTCAAGAAGGGTTAGAACAAGCAGCCACACTGAGGAACGTGGAATTTCATAGTTGGTTAAATCCCGAATTCTACACTTTGACTCAAACATTGAACTTTATAGATTCAGTGTAGGTGGGGCAGGGCTATATGACAGTGAAAAATCCAAGTTTTTTAATGGACTGGGAGGACAATATGATGTGGCAGCCAAGAAAAATTACTAGCATAGGAGGCTTTGTTTCCAAAGCAAGGAAGGTGATAGTTCCAACATACTGTGCTTTGTTCTATCTAGACTGTGGTCCTTCCTTTCCCTTTTTTTAAGGCATTCTTCTCCTCATTGGCTTTTTGGACCTCTTTTGCCATTTGGCCATTTAGCTGTGTGACCCTGGGCAAGTCACTTAACTCTGTTTGCCTATTTCCTCATCTATAAACCTGGAGAAGGAAATGGCAAACTACTGCAGTTATCTTTGCTAGGAAAACCCCACATGGGAGAATCAGGAAAAGTTGGATACCACTGAAAAATGAAGCTAATAATAGTATCTACTTCATAGGGATGTTGCAAGGAACCAGTGGGACAATATTTGTTCCTTACAACATGAGCTAAAATGCTTTGCAAACCTTAAAGCAGTCTATAAATAATATTATTATTATTGTACCATTAGCAAGAACAAATAGGAGGAATTCAGAGAAACATGGGGAGTCTTCTGTTAACTGATGAATAAAGACAACAGGATTAGGAGAAAACCATATTCACAATGACTTTAATAATATAAATGAAACCAGCACTAGAAGCCCTCTTAACTCAGTCAAATGTAAAGACCAGTCTTGTGATGAAATGTACTTTCCTCTTCTTTGTAGAGAACTGATGGACTGTAGGCAAAGGCTGTTACATCTATGGACATGGTCATTTTTGTTTGGTTTTATTTGACTGTTTTTCTTTGTTTCAGCAGAATTTGGGAGGGTAAATCATGGGAAGTAATTGCAGTGAATAATAACCTGAAAACAAGGATTAAAGAAAATAGTAACAATATTCATATGGAAGAGTAGAAGGTCAAGAATATTATTAGAGGCAGCTGAGTGACATACTGGATAAAGAGCTGGACTTGGAATCTGTAAGACCTCAGTTCAAACCTGGCCTCAGGCACTTCCTTTTCCTCAGGTCTGTCTTATGGGTCACAAAGACCCCCAATTATGTAGACCCCAGTCCTCTCCACAACAGGGTAGTAACAGGCTTTCTCTGTTTTTTCCCCTCCCTCCTGCCTCCTCAGGATCTTTGAATTACAGGTATCAGGTCTGTTTTCCATGTCATCCTTGTTTATCTTTTTTACACTTAATTCTGTGATCTTGAGCAAGTCACTTAACCTCTGCCTGCCTCAGTTTCCCAATATGTAAAATGGGGGTGATAATAATAGTACCTATCTCTCAGTGTTGTTGTGAGGATAAGAGATATTTGTAAAGCTCTTAGTAATGCTAGCTAGCCATATCAAGGGAAATAATTTAAAATGATAGGAGTTAAAAGGGTGTAGCATGACCAGATAGCATGTATTATCCAGTAGTAACTATGAAAACCATCTAGTCCTTTTCACAAATACTTCAAATTCAAATTCAGGACTAGATGATCAAGACTTGTAAGCAAATGGTATTCTAGCATAAACCGCTGGGGTTGGAATCCTGCTTAACATGAACTGCAGGGATGCCTGAAACACACTTTTGAGGAAAATATAGCAATCTAACAAGTTTGCATCAGTGGAGATGGCAACCCATTTCTTGTTTCAGAGTTCCCTGAGGTATAGAGAAGTTAAATTATTTGGTAAGAAAACTAGGGACAGAGGAGGAATTTGGACCTAATTTGACTTAAAGCCAAGCACTGTCCATTATACTTCACTGCATCACTGTGAGAAAATATGGTTAATTTTTTTTTTCTTGATAGAGAATACAACAAAGTTCCATGTGTATGGAATGGAGAAATAATAGAGTTACATTTTCTTATGTCTTTCAGATTGGGGAGCTAGGCCTGAAACCAAGGAGTCAGCTCTAATGTTGAGTATTTCAATTGAAGAATCATTCCAAGACAGAATCACAGGGAGTAGTACCTGTTTCTCCAAAATGGAAAAAGCCTGGGAATATGATGCCAAGTTGCAGAGGCAGCAGAGCGATGTGAAGCATTCTCAGCAAGTAAAAATCACCCCAAAGACATCTCACAATAAACTAAGAGTCCAAGAGTATAATAAATTTGGCAGAAGCATCAATCGGGGGCTAATCCTTTTCCCACAACAGAGAATATATGTAGGAAAGAGTCTCTGTAAATATGATACACTTAAAAAGCATTTCAGACTACATACAGACCTAAGAAAATATAGCAGAATATGTGCAAAAAAGATACTTTCTAAGTATGATGAATGTGGGAAATCTTTCAGGTATACCTCAGAGCTCACTGAAAATCATAGATTATATACTGGAGAAAAACATTATCAAGGTAATGAAAGTGGGAAAGACTTCCCCCAGAGTTTATTCCTTAATCTACCTAATAGAATTCATGCAGGAGAGAAGTTTTATGAATGCAGTGAATGTGGGAAGGCCTTCCAATGGAGATCAAGGCTTATTAAACATCAGAGAATTCATACTGGAGAGAAACCTTATGAATGTAATGAATGTGGGAAGACCTTTCAGCAGAGAGTGCAACTTACCCAACATCAGACAATTCATACTGGGAAGAAACCTTATGAATGTAACGAATGTGGAAAAGCCTTTCGTCTAAGCACAGGACTTATTCATCATCAGACAATTCATACTGGAGAAAGATCTTTTAAATGTAATGAATGTGGGAAGGCCTTCCCTGTGAGTACATATCTTACTCAACATCAGAGAATTCACACTGGAGAGAAACCTTATAAATGTAAGATCTGTGGGAAGGCCTTCCGCCTGAGTACAGGACTTACTCAACATAAAACAATTCATACTGGAGAGAAACCTTACAAATGTAACGAATGTGGGAAGGCCTTCCGCCTGAGAACACAGCTTACTGAACATCAGACAATTCATACTGGAGAGAAGCCTTATGAATGTAGTGAATGTGGGAAGACCTTTCGCCTGAGCACAGGACTTGCACAACATCAGACAGTTCATACTGGTGAGAAACCATATGAGTGCAATGAATGTGGAAAGGCCTTCAGTCAAAAGGCAGATCTTATTCGACATCATAGAATTCATACTGGAGAGAAACCTTATGAGTGTAACGAATGTGGAAAGGCCTTCCGCCTGAGAACACAGCTTACCGAACATCAGACAATTCATACTGGTGAGAAGCCTTATGAATGTAATGAATGTGGGAAAGCCTTCCGCTTGAGCACAGGTCTTACTCAACATCAAACAATTCATACTGGAGAGAAACCTTATGAATGTAAGGAATGTGGGAAAGCCTTCAGCCAGAGGGCAGAACTTACCCGACACCATAGAATTCATACTGGAGAGAAGATTTACAAATGTGATGAATGTGGGAAGGACTTCCGATGGAGCAGAGGACTTACACTACATCAGAAAATTCATAGTGGAGAAAAACCTTATGAATGCAATGAATGTGGAAAAGCCTTTCCCCTTAGCTCATATCTTACTCAGCATCAGAGAATTCATACTGGAGAGAAATGTTATAAATGTGATGAATGTGGAAAGGCCTTTCCTTTGAGCTCACAACTTACTCAGCATCAGAGAATTCACACTGGAGAGAAACCTTATAAATGTAAGGTTTGTGGGAAAGCCTTCCGCCTGAGCCAAGGACTTACTCAACATCAGACTATTCATACTGGTGAGAAACGATATGAATGTAATGAATGTGGGAAAACCTTTCGCCAGAGGACAGGACTTACTGAACATCAGACAATTCATACTGGTGAGAAACCTTATGAATGTAAGGAATGTGGGAAGGCATTTCGCTTGAGAGCACAACTTAGCCAACATCAGAGAATTCATACTGGTGAGAAACCTTATGAATGTAAGGAATGTGGGAAGGCCTTCAACCACCGACCAGAACTTAAACGGCATCACAGAATTCATACTGGAGAAAAACCTTATGAGTGTAATGAATGTGGAAATGCCTTTCGCCTTAGCACACACCTTACTCGACATAAGAGAATTCATACTGGTGAGAAACCTTATGAATGCAGTGAATGTCTATTGTCATTTCGCCTGAAGACACAGCTTACTCAACATCAGAGAATTCATACTGGAAAGAAACTCTATAAGTGTCATGATTGAGGGAGACTTTCTTCCGAAGCAAACACTTTACTCGATATCAGCTGCTGTTGACAACAGGAATCTTGTGAAAATAAGGAATGTGGAAGAGCCTTTAGCTAGAGCACAAACCTAAAAATCAGGTAATTTATATTGGAAGGTCATATGAACATTATGAACGAGAAATTTCACCCAGACAGTCCTTAACTGAAAATAAGAGAATTCAAACTAAAGGATATTCTATAGATTCACCAAGTACTTTTCAGAGCACCTGTTCTAAAACCTTTGTCTCCCTTCTGTGCCTACTTTCCACAATCCCCAAATGTGCTGCAGGTGATTTAGACCTGATTTATAACAAAACAGGCACAATCTGACAGGCTGTCACTTCAGTTTCATACCCCAGAACTCTTTGGAATTGTCAAGCATTCTCTTTTAGTCTCAAAAGAAGACATACTCTTTCTGTATGAATGTGGAAAGGCCTTCAGGCACAGAGTAGAACTCAGATGTTAGCATAGCATTCATACTGGACAGAAACCTTTTCACAATGAAAATAGGAAGGCCTTCCACATGAGCCACATACCTTATATTGGAGACAAATCTTATGAATGGAATGAACGTGAAGATTTCAGTCAGAACTATCATTGTTTTTTTAAAATAAGTTTTTATTAAAATCTTTCTTATATCATAGCCCAAGTATTCTTCTCCCTCCTCCTCCTCAAGAGCCAACCCCTAGAATAGTATTTTTAGAGAGGAAAAAAAAAAGCACAACTGTTAAATATATAGAAAAAGCCCCCAAATCTTCAGTGCTAACACCTGTCCCTGTGGGCCTCCCACCTTCACGAATGGGCAGGTTGGAAGGGCATCCTCTCACCTTCAGCCTGGTCTTGTTGGATCTTTATCATTTTGTTACATTTCCTTTTGACATTTTGGTTTCTCATCCTTTCCCATTTACATTGTGGTCATTACTGTGCATTTTCCTGGTTCAGTCACATCATTCTTTACTGAAAAATTAGAGAATGGAGACTAAAGTTGCACAAATGAGGTATGTAAATTCCTGTGTATGTTTTCACAGTAGCTTTTCCTTTTCCCTCATCCTGAAATCTCCAGTAACCTCTTTACCACAGTCTCCACACATACTGTAGATGGCCTAAGACTCTTGATTTGCTGAGGAAATTGTGACAATCTGGTGTTTGCTCAGGACCCCATCTTCACTCCTCAGAAACTATTGTAATGATCAACCACTCTTCCTTCTAGTCTAGAGGAAGAGAGGTATCCTTGCACCTTGTCAAGGCTAATTCCTTTTCTCGTGCCTTTGATCCCACCCCCTCTTGCCAACTCTAGGACCTCATCTAAGTAATCATATACTCTTTTGTTTTCAAGCTGTCCCTCCCAATCATCTTTCCTAGCTGCCTATTAAGTTCTTCCACTCCAGAAATATTTATCATGTGCACATTTCCAATCAATTGCCAAACCTTACTCTTTCTAACGATAATATTCCACTCACACAGGACCACCGTACTTCAGGCTCTTATCACCTGGCCAAATTATGATAACCACCTATCTGGTCTCCCGGCCTGAAGTAAATAAATGAGGAATGTATTAAGACATTTACCATGTGCCAGGTCCTATGCCAAGAGCTAGAAATACAAATACAAGCAAAACAGTACCTGCCTCCATGATCTCTTATGCCATTATGGAAAGTTAGCACATATTAGGGAATATGGGTCAGGGAGGAGTATTCTGGATAGGGTAGCCAAAGGGAATGATGATTTGGAGTCATAGGACCAATGACAGACACACCTTTTCTAGGGATGATAGCTTTGGCTTGATTACTGTTTGCAACTAGAGCTTGAGATGGGAGAAGGGTATGTGCAATGGCATGCAGATGGCCCTAGTAAGAGGCCTAGTGGGCTTGGGTCCCACTGCTGCAAGGTTGAGTACTCACCCATTAAGAATCTAGGCCATTCTCCACATAGCTAGCATTCTCTCAGAGCTAATAGCTAATTAATAGCTAATTTTCTTAGAGCATGGGTCTATGCGTGTCTCTTCAAGTGTCCTATGCTACCCCACCCTCACTGGAAAAAAATGAAGCCATTCACCCGAAGTGCTGAGGTCAAACTCAAATAGCAATGAATACCTGTGGCCATATGTTGATTTAGAAAAAACACTAATATGTTATAGTTATTTTATTTGTTTTGTTAAACATTTTCCAGTTATGTTTTAATCTGGTTCCATTGCCCTCTTAGATCTCCCTTCCTTCTCTATCATCTGTCATCATTCATGCATTTCCTCCTTCACTTCAGGCTCCAAAGAAGAGATATTCTTTCTTGCCAAGATTGGCCCTTCTGTGTGTACCCTCACTCCTTTTGATTTTACTTTTCACCTTCCCTCTCTCATGTTCAGTCTCTCCCTATCTACTTGTTCCTTTCCTGATGGCTACAAATATGCCCCAACCTCATCTATGAAAAACTTTCACTAGATCCTACCATGGCTGCCAACTATAACCCCATGTTTCCCCTTCTCAGGTAAAGTTCTTGAAAAAGCGGCTTATACTCAGTGTTTCCATTCCCCCCCCCACCTCCTCACTTTCTTCTAAATCCTTTGCTATCTGAGTTGATACCTCATCATTAAACTGAAATAGTTTTCTAAAGTTACTAATGAGCTTAATTACCAAATCTAATGGCCTTTTCTCAATCCTCAACTGTTCTGCAAAGTTTCACAGTGCACTACCTTTTCTTCTGGGATACTCTGTAGTCCAGGTTTTTGAGGTTCTCTCTCCTGGTTGTCCTCCCTGTTTGACCACTCCTCAGTTTCCTGTACTAGATCTTCATCCTGTTATGCCCACTTAACACTTGGGGTGTCCCCTAAGGATGTGTTCTCTCTTTTCCTTATACTCTCTCATTAAGTGATCTTGCCAGCTCTCATGGGTTCATTTATCTATGCAGATGATTCTTAGATCTATGTATCCAACCTCACCCTCTGTCCTAAGCTCCACTTCTACACTACCGACTGCCTATGGGACAGTTTGAAGTGGATGCCTCGCAGATATCTCAAACTTAACATGTCCGAAACGGAACTCGTTAGATTTTCCCCAAACACTCCCCTTTTCCAAACTTCACTGTTCCGTAGAGGGCACCACCATTCTCCCAGTCATCCACTTTTGTAATCTGTGTCAACTCTGACTCTTCACAGTCATTCAACCTACACATTCAACTAGTTGCAAATCTTGTAATGTCCTTCCCCAAGCATGCAACCCCTTCTCTTGGTTCACACAGCCACCACCATCCTTCAGAGCCTCATCACTACTGCCTTGTTACTAGTCTGCCCATCTCAAGTCTCTCTTTACCCCAATCCACCCTCTGGACAACTGCCAACATGAATTTCTTTTAAAAAAAGTTTATTGTTCCAAACTTGACAAACATTTCCACATACAAGGACAGAAAAAAATGATTTTATATGAAAACTATGAATCTATTGTGTACAGCTTTTTAAAAGTATTTAATAAATTCATGTCAATTCCAAAGTTGTCCTGTGTAAAAGTTTTGCCCTATGAGCTTCTCTTCTATATTGAGTTCTCTTCTATATTTAGTTTTACTAAGGCTATTTTTTCCCTGCAATATCATTACTGTGCCATCTCCCCCACCACCTGCAATAAAATGCTTCCCTTGTAATAGATCCAAAGTGATTTTCCCAAAGTGCAGATCTGGCCGTGTCATCCCTCTACTCAGTAAATTCCAGTAACTCCTCATCACATCTAGAGAGATGAATTTCTGTGTTTGGCATTTAAAAGTTCTTTACAACCTGCTCTCCTATATTTCCAAGGTTCTTTATGTTACTACCCTGCGTGTGCTGTGGTCATACTGGCCTACGTGCTGTTACATGTGATGCTCCAGGCAGACTCCTCCTCTGTGTTTTTGCAGTGACTGTCCCCCATTCCTAGCAGGTTCTTCCCTCTGGCTCTAAGCATGCTTAGAGGACCTTCCTGTTCCCCCTAGAGGCTACTACCATCCACTCTGGGGTCACCTGCCATCCGCTCTGTGTCATGTAGGTATAGGTTGTCTCCTGTGGTAGAAGGTAAGCTTTTTGAGGGCAGGAATGTATACCCTCCACTGCTTACCCTTCCAATCCTGCTTGAGAGTTAAAGAACCTAACTGAATGAAAAAGCATTTATTGTGTACTTAGTATGTACCAAGAATCGTTCTGAGGACTGGAGCTAAAAATACAAGCAGACCAGAAATTCCAGTAGAGGAAGGCAGCCGACGTGGGTCAGTGGTGGCTGGAGAGAGTGTTTTGCACAGGGAAGTCAGTGGAAACAGTGACTAGACTGACCTTTCTCAGGGTGCCCACCAGGCCTCAGTGCATATCATGGCTCCTTTGCAGATGCTTCTGGCACCAGGAGAAGCAGCTACTGGCTGTGGTGGACACGGCATTGACCACAGAGAAGCCCTCTGGATCCTTTTAACTCCGATATTTTCTGGATGCTCCCACATTGGAACATTCATTCACCTAATATCAGGAAAGAACAAAAAGCTGATCACAACCACACAAGGCTGGGTCAGGGAGTAAGACAGTTGCCTCATCTCCCATGTGATTTGCAGCACCAAATCTCGAGTCCTAGCTCACTGTACGGAGGGTGGATTGGGGCAAGGAGAGATTTGAGATGGGCAGACCGATAAGAAGGCAGTAGTGTAGATGTAGGCCCCAATACGCATGTGGTGGGCTGGAACCAAGAACAGAACCCACCTGAAAGGGCAAATTGAAGTGCTCACTATGTGCCAGGCACTGGGTTAAGTACTAAAAATACAAAGAAAAGTAATAAAGAGTCCCTGCCCTCCAGGAGCTCACAGTCTAATGGGAGGTCATTTAATCCCATTTCTTTACCGATAAGGAAGCCAAGGCCTAGAGATAAGACAGTAGTTGAAAGGGATGGCAGGGCAGGATTCAAACTCGGACCCTGTGACTCCAAGTTCTGTTCTTCCACTGTACAAATGCATTCTGAGTTCCACTTTTTGATGCTGAGAACATTTCAATAGTGGTAGGAATGTGTATTCACCTACCACCATCACCACCTACAAAGCAGTTGGAATGCAGACTCTATGTAATGCCAATGGTGTCTTCCCATTGGACAGAGCCTATAGCAAGGTGTGTGCCAAAAGGAGACAAGGGTAGAAAGGAGGATGAAGGGCAGAACTGGGCTAAGAGGGCAAAGTCCTATAGAACCACTGTAACCCACAGGCCCATGGGTTGGTCGGTTGGCTATTGTCCTTTGTTCTTGGAGAGGACCAAAATGACTATGTTAGAGTCAAGTTACAGTGCGTAGACCGTGGCTAATCAGACCAGTATGAGCACAGAATGCTCTACTACAGGTCAGGCACAAATACACCATGTGAACATTTGGGGTGGATTCTCTCAATTTGTGCATCCCACATTTCTTTTGAGCTACTTCAGTTCTGCTCTGATCACAAATCAAAGAGCACAGCACCTTTGGGTATGCCATGTTTGGTAGTCCTTTGTGTGAGTCTCCTGTGTCATGCATTCCATGTACCAATGGTGAGTAAAATCATTTCTGCAGAAGTTTTTGTACATTTTTGTGTGTGTGTGTGTGTGTGTGTGTTTTGACTACAAGGTGGGATTCCCCACTTGCCACAGTAGAAAGGCTAGGATTGGGTAAGCAGACAATTTTTTTAAAATTTTGTTTAATTTGTTTTTTGTTTTCAACATTCACTTCTGTAAGATTTTGAATTCTAAATTTTCTCCCCTCTCCCCAAGACAGTGTGCAATCTGATATAGGCTATACATGTACAATCATATTAAACATTTCCACATTAGTCATACTGTAAAGAATTAAAACTGAAGGAAAAAACCATGAGAAAGAAGAAATGAAAAAAGAGAGAAAATAATATGCTTCACTCTGCATTCAGACTTTCTTTCTCTGGATGTGGATAGCATTTTCCATTGTGAGTCTTTTGGAGTTGTCTTAGATCCTTGTATTGCTGAGAAGAGGTAAGTCTGTCAATATTAGTCATCGCACAATGTGGCTGTTACTGTTCACAACATTCTCCTAGTTCTGCTCACTTCACTCAGTGTCAGACCATAACAAGTCTTTCCAGGTTTTTCTGAAGTCAGCCTGCTCATCATTTCTTATAGCACAATGGTATTCCATTGTATTCATATACCACCACTTGTTCAGCCATTCCCAAATTGATTGGCATCCCCTCAATTTCCAATTTTTGGCCACCACAAAAAGCTGCTATAAATGTTTTTGTACATATGGGTCCTTTTCCCTTTTTTATGATCTCTTTGAGATGCAGACCTAGAAGTGCTATTGCTGGGTCAAAGATTATGCACAATTTTATAGCCCTTTGGGCATAGTTCAGAATTGCTCTCCAGAATGGTTGGATCAGTTCACAACTCCACCAACAATGCGTTAGTGTTCCAGTTTTCCCACATCTTCTCTAACATTTATCATTTTCCTGTTTTGTCATATTAGCCAATCTGATATGTATGAAATGGTACCTCAGAATTGTTTAAATTTGCATTTCTTTAATCAACAGTGATTTAGAGCATTTTTTTTCATATGACTATAGATAGCTTTAATTTCTTCATCTGAAAACTGCCTGTTTATATCCTTCGACCATTTATCAATTGGGGGAATGACTTGTACTCTTATAAACTTGACTCAGTTCTCCATATATGTTGGAAATGAGGCCTTTATCAGAGACACTGGCTGTAAAACTGTTTCCCGGCTTTCTGCTTCCCTGCTAATCTTGGTTGCATTGGCTTTGTGCTAAAACTTTTCAATTTAATGTAATCAAAATTATCTATTTTGCATTTCATAATGTTCTCTATCTCTTGTTTGGTCATAAATTCTTCCCTTCTCCGTAGATCTGACAGGTAACTATTCCTTGCTCTCCTAATTTGCTTATAGTCTCTCTCTTTATGTCTAAATCATACACCCCATTTTGATCTTCTCTTGGCATGCGGGGTAACATGTTGGTCTATGCCTAGTTTCTGCCATACTATTTTCCAGTTTTCCCAACAGTTTTTGTTAAATAATGAGTTTTTATCCCAGAAGCTGGAGTCTTTGGGGTTATCAAACAGTAGATTAATACAGTCGTTGACTACTGTGTCTTGTGTACCTAACCTATTCCACTGATCCACCACTCTTTTTCTTAGCCAGTACCAAGTAGTTTTGATGATTGTTGGTAAACAGACAATTTTTAGGGCACCTTTTTTAGCCTCTTCCTCACACCAGAATGTGAGCAGTGTGATCCTTAAAGCTACTCAGACACACAGGGGGCTGCTAAATCCCACTTCTGCTTCCAGTGAGATGACGACCCCATGGCCTAGGCCACCTTTGTGCAGGGTTGGGACTACAGCTCCCAGTGTATTTGCACCTGTGACTTTGAGATCAGTCAAAATGTATAGGTGACGTCTTTTGATTCATGCATAGATTGGATTTCAATGAGGCGCAGTTGCATGAAGTCGTCAGCCTCACTCTCTTCCGGAACTGTCTCAGTCAAGTCATCTTGTTAAGAGTCAGGATGGCTGTTGATGGCTCGGCATGTTGTGGATGGCCTCAGTGTCTTTGATGTCTAACCAGACATGGCCACTGAAACAAATGGTTCTCATTCACTCATTCCACTGGGGGAAATCTTCCCATGCTTGGGGTAGACATCCCCCTACTCATCAATGGGTTGAAGAGTCCTTGGTTACCCTTGACCTGGTTCAGCCCATCTGCTAAAACAGTTTACCAGGTGTGGCCTGTGAGTGCTGCAGCTTCTTGGAGCCACAGGTGAGAGTTGGGTGACAGGTAGTCACCACAGGTGGAAAGCAGCCCTCACACCAGAGGAACTAATCTCCTCTGAACACACTTGACTCCCTAGTCTGGCCCTACTATTGCCTGCTTCCCTTCCCACTACTGTTTCTGATCTGGGCTTCTCGCCTGCCTATCCTGGAGCAGACCATGAGCACCATCCCTTCTCTACCCCCTGTCCCTAAAATAAATATTCTGAGGTTTTTAATGTTAGTAAAGAAGGCAATATTAACCAAAATGTCAGCATATGTTCCATATGGTCATTTTACCTATGAATGAAACTCCAAAAACGATGAAGATGTGGCATGTAAATGGAAGAATGGTTCATAGGTGCTCTTCGAGGGACTCCGTAAATTATAAAATGTTAGAGTTGATAAGGACACTGAGGTCATCTACTTCAACTTTGTTCTGAAAAAGAATCCCCACTAATGAATGAAGATGCTGGTGGCTGCTGAGCCCCGAGGATATTCCCCTTCCTAAAGAGTCAGTACTCCAGCTCCTGCCCTCACACAACACTTGTTTTGAAGACACAATCTGTTCTAACAACTGGTACATTAGGGAACAATTTCAGTAGAGGTTGAATTTCAAGTTTTCTGACGTAAGATATCCACTGGCCGGAAACTGCACCACTTCACAATTTCTTGCAAGATGCAACCCTTTGGCCCACTTCTGCAAGCGGACTTCAGGTGTTTTTCCAGGTAATGGGC